TGTGTGTTTGTGTTTGTGTGTGTGTGTGTGTGTGTGTGTGTGTGTGTGTTTGGGCTGCTTGGATGGATGGATGGATGGATGGATGGATGGATGGATGGACATAGGCCGCCCTGTTTTGATCAGTGATATGACTGTGTGTTTGCGGCTCCGGTCAGCTGAGGGAATTAGATCCCTGACAGCCTGTTTTATTTTTTATTTTGTGCAGCTACATTGAGCCTAACGTGGAAGCATTTGTGGTCTGTGCACCTTAATGCACCAAAGCTGATGATTTGGTGAAGTAACACCATTTTGTAAATAATGAACCCTGTAAAGCCTACTGTCTCATATGTGATATGAATTTTTAGGCCTTTATATTACCAACATAATCAAAACTTTGCTGTTAAACCTGTTGCACCCAATCTACTACACACAATGTAGCAAGTAAAAGGTCTTTTAGTATAGGCCTAATTGTACAAACGTCCACCTTCAGCTCATTCTTCACATGTCTTTTGCTGTGTAATCTACACATTTTTATAAAGTATAGATATAAGAATAACTTTGATATTGTTAGGAATAGATGTAATAGTTGAACACTTACTGGACTGAAGCAACTTAGGTTTACTTGATGATCCAAATATCATTTTTAGAGAAATCATATTCAAATGTGAGTATCAAATATGATCGTCAGGCTTTAGAAGAACATTTATTTCATTCATCACTGCATTGCATTGCATTAAATGTTGTGATCATTAAACTAAACATTTAAATATAATCTTACTAAGACATATTATTGGGAGATACAGAGCAAAAACTGATATTTATATGCATTTTATGTAAGTATCTGCTATACTGTTATGAAGATCTCATTGATTTACATTACAAGCATTAGAATTCATCACCTTTTGTTCATATAAATATCAGCATCTGCATCAAATTGCATATTTTTGCTCAGTTTGGGCCTCTAAATAAAATTGAGGATATTTTCCCTCTGTATTCTCACTATATCATACTATATGAACCATAAAAGCCTGATGTATCAAATAGCTATGATACTTAACGTAAAACACATATGCAAAGTCAAATTATGGAAATATATTTTGTCTAAAGGTGCAATAAGCTGTTCAATAATAAAAAAAATCAACTTGTTTCATATTTCAGGTTTCACAGGTTAATACACAAAGGCCATCTGCCTTGAGTTTTCGCTCCTTTGTTTTCCTCTCTCTTGTAGTCTCCGGGGAGAGTCTGTATATTTGACATTACAGGTGTTGTAGACTCACAGGTGGGATTGGACCCGTCTTGGAGGTGCAGGGGTACAAATGCAAATCCATGCTCAGCAGATTGTGGCCTTTGTTCGGCCGGATAGGACATGATCATTTAGACCTCTTAGAGAAAGATGCTTTGTTTTTGATCACCTAGGTCTCTCTCTTTTCCTCATTTCTAATATCAAACCACCCACGTTTACACACACACACACACACACACACACACACACACACACACACACACACACACACACACATACATCATAGCCTAATCATCAGCAGCAGCAGTTTTCCTTCTCAGAAGTGTTCCTATTAAAGCATACCTCTTAAGCCGTCATTAAACTCAACTGGTCAGACGAGGTATTTCGTTAAGGGATCAGCAGTAATGGTATGCGGTCCGTCATGGGGTTCTAATATCAAACCACCCACGTTTACACACACACACACACACACACACACACACACATCATAGCCTAATCATCAGCAGCAGCAGTTTTCCTTCTCAGAAGTGTTCCTATTAAAGCATGCCTCTTAAGCCGTCATTAAACTCAACTGGTCAGACGAGGGATCAGCAGTAATGGTATGTGGTCCGTCATGGGGTTGCCGTGGTAACTCGACACTATAGCCGACCGACTGTAGCGGCACGTCTCAATAATTAATGCATTGTGCCTCCTGATTGCATTGTGTTTCTGACTCACGTCTTCAGTGTATATATAGACTGTCTTGAGCTTGTAGATTCTTATTGTCTTGATTAATTTGCTGGTTTTGCTTCCAGACCTCAAAATAATAAAGCAGACATCAGCAAATACCTGACAACCCTGGGTTTGGTGTTTTCTCAATATTAGCCAATCAGCATGCAGACAATGGCATCTCGGTTGAATGCTGTTATTTATGCTGCTGTTATGATGCCAGATGTTGGTGGAATTAGTACATTTTACAAGACTACTATTTAAGTCTTTCTACTTCAAAATGTAATGTTTAATTCATTGTGCTACTTTGTTCTTTGTAATTGTGAATTTACTAGACATTTCTGAAAATTGTTTCTGAGTAAATCTTACACTACATTTTTTAAAAGTGAGATTTGTGTGAGAAAACAACTGAAATTGAACCAAAACATCTTTAAAAACACCTTAACTCTCTTCCTTATGTTCATGAGAGAAGTAGCTAAATATGTCTGAATCAGATCTTTTCAGTGACTCATTTCAGTTCACAGGGGGTGGATTTTGAGTGAATAATGACTCAATTTTCAAAGTCATGCAGGTCTGAAATGACGTGAGGGTGCTAAATTATGTCAATTTTTATTTGTTAACTTCCCCAGAAAAGACAAATGCTTTGAGTTTGGAAGATGAGTCATTCCTCCCCAGAGTCTGGTAATCATTGTTAAACATTTCTGACTCTATAAGGCAGTTCTTAAATGAAACCACAGAGCAAACAGTCTTTATCCTAGATGAGATCCTGGTAGAAACGACTCTCACGTTGTGCTGAAACAGTCTGAAATGATGCAGCCTCATCAACAAGTAGGCGTGCTGCAGGATGTTGCAGAACCGCTGCATGGGTGTGTGTGTGTGTGTGTGTGTGAGAGACTAACTGAATGCACACATGCATTTGGCCCTGACTGAGCACGTTTTACCTTATTACAGTCATTTCATAATGCAGCAGCTGTCAAACTCATAAAACTAGTCAGTGTGTGTGTGTGTGTCACCGCTGTAAGAAAGTAGGCTGTCTAAATGAGGTCCGTCTGATTCTGTCCGTCACTCAGAGATCGTAATGAGAACACGAGAAGAGAGAGAAAACTCTAATGATCTGATTAGATGGATGTTTCTGGAGACGTGGGCCGCTCTGCAGATGCAGGGGAACCTATTACAGTGAGCCGCCGTCACCGTGTGTTTGCCTTCATTCACACTGTTGAGGGAGCGGTGACTAAGAGTCACTCCTGTCATCGGCGGTGGAACATTACTGTCACGGGACTCAGAGATGATTTCACTGAATGAGAATTTCGTTAGTAGAGTTTCTGCATAGATCTTCTGATTTCTCAGAATGACCGCCTGTCTTTGAGCGACACTTTAGCTCTGCTCCAAAACCTAGTCAGCTGTATTCTAAGGCAGCATCAGAACTGCAGTGAAGCCTCAAAAGTGACTGATTTGGAACGGCAGCGAACATAAATAGTGTGCCATACAGGATTGATAAAGAAAAGACAACAGTCTGATACTTTAATAACATTTCATACACAAAGTGATTAAAACAAAAAAGTGAATAAATATAGTCACAAAAGATTGATAAGAAATTAAAACAATAAATGTAAAATACATATTAAAAATAAATAAAATGTACGTCAGAGACATTTTATATGTGTTTATATACTTTTATATTCAAATAAAAGATGATTAAATAATCATGAAATGTACATAATAAAAAAAAAATACATCAAATATTACATAAATGCACACAACACACACATTGGTTAAATAATAATCATAAAAGATACATAAGAAATAAAACATTAATAAATGCATTAAGTACACAGCAAATGCTACGTATATTTTTTGTTTATATTTATTTTGAACTGAGCTGGAACATTGTTTATTGCCTTTATGATGCCTTAAAATGCTGTTCAGGTAGGGAGCTTACTGTTTTTGACCTAAACTGTTGTGTCTCTACAACAAGATGTTTTGTCACTTTCTTGTCCGAAAGAGTGGGTGGGTGGATTGCTTTCAGTGATACTTGGACACAGATATTTCTGAAATATATTTTTACCTGCTAGATAGACAGGGGTGCAAGAAGCTGCATACTAATCTGCATACTATAGTCCCAGATG